CGGGGAGACCTGATTGAGGCCTTCCAGGGCTGGAAGGGGGCCTATGAGAAAGATGGGGGCAAACTTGTGATAGGACAAGGGGTAACGGTTTTAAACTAAAAGGAGACAGATTCAGACTAGATATAAGGAAGAAATTTTTTGTGACGAGTGTGGTGAAACACTGGCACAGGCTGCCCAGAGAGGTGGTAGATGCCCCATCCCTGGAAACATCCCAGGTCAGGTTGGACGGGGCTCTGAGCCACCTGATCCAGCTAAAGGTGTCCCTGCTCAGTGCAGGGGGTTGGATGAGATGGCCTTTGAAGGTCCCTTCCAGCCCAAACTGTTCTATGATTCTATGATACAGGTTATTACAAGAAAGCCTGTAATGTATGTTAGTATTCCTGTTGAGTGTTAAGGCCTAATATTTATCTAACAATAGCTAGACGTTAGTATGTGACTAGTATCATCTGCCATGAATTCAGAACTGAAGAGTGATGTTTTTTTCTTTACTAAAATACAGATTTTAAGAAAACATTCTTGTTTAAACCTGTACAAAAATTACTATGGAAAAATTCGATTTATTCTCTGTCAAATAGGACTGTCAAGGGACACCTTCAGGCTGATAGTACAGAAACCACAGATACAAACTGGGATGTGTAGTACACAGTTGTAGACTAAAAGATATTTTTAGTGAGATGGAAGTGGTCTGGTATTATTTTCAAAATATGTCATTGGATCATTAATATTTGCTGCACTGGAGATCTTCTGAAGACATTTGGGTTTAAGCATATTCTGTGGCTTTTAAGACCTAAATAATTCTGGAAATACAGATGTGTTATGCTGCAGTGGGAGCCCTGAGAGCAGTTCTAGGTGATGCAGCCTCAATTTTTTCCGGGTGCCCATGAGAGTGCATGCCAGAGCTTTGCCATCTCCTTACGTACTGACAAGCAGTGCCCTTTGTGTCCTTCCTGTCAGCCCTGTTTGCTGACATGGTTCAACAAAGAATAATTACAGGCTTTTCAGCGCTTGCTCTCCTTGTGAGGAGCTGAATGCTACCTGACATTATGCCTGGTTGTCTGCGGGAGAAGCAAGTGTCAGGAGTTTGAGCTTCTCACTTTCTGCTCAGCGCTTCTGCACCCAGGCAGGATTGATTACTGCCTGACCTGTTGCTTCTCTGCAGGATAGCAAGTCTTACAAAATATATAGGTGTTTTCTTACAGAGTGTAGAACTTCTCTTTGGACCTCCAGTGGTATGGCAACAACTGAGTTATACTGACACTCTGTGGAGACAGTGGGGAAAGGTAATTGAAATCTGGAATAAGGAATAGTGTTTGTATCTGTAGTTACAATAAAAAAATCAGTCACAATGTTAGTTCCAAAAATATGGCAACAGCACAGTAGAAAATGACAGCCTCAAGATCTACAAACCAGCGATCAACGCCTAACAGGAAAAAAATTGGAAAATAGCTATTTACCATGCAAAAGATTGTCTTGACATTTCTGACATCTGTCGTGAAACTGTGGACATCCAGAGGAGTTCTCCCGAAGCTCCCTGCACAGAGGTCTCTGGCGTCCTGACACAATTTTTGAGAACATGCCACTTCTGTCAGGATCTAGAATGAAGTCACAGTATTTTTAGACTGCCATTAAGCTTAGGGTCTTGATAAATATACGTTTGTTACCTACTCTGTGTGCTAGAATATAATTTCTTGCCCTTAACCCAAAATATCTAGCATAATTCCCTCCCTCTCACCTCCCCCCTGAAGAAAAAGGAATAAAACATTAAAAAGTAGAAGTTAGAAGATGGAAATCATGTTTTCTTTCAAGAAATTCATGCCACTATAGTATATTCCCTTATAAAGGCATAGTAGCATATCCCCCACTAATAGCCAAACAGTTTCTAATATTATTACACGTTATTTCTCCAATGTGCGAGTTCTACTAAGAACTTTTTGACCCTTAGAAGTCAAGATGTTTCATAATCACCTACAGCTAGGTGAGAGCACAGTTGCAAAGCTTATTTCTGAGGTAACATGGGTCACGATACAGGAAAAATTTAAACACGCTGTTGAAGAATCACTTAACTTCATACTTCCTGATGACGATATAATGGTTGTGTCACTTCCCACTCAGAGTTATGGCATTTAGACAGGCACCAGCATGGGTTGTTTTTTTTTTTTTTCCTATTTGCACTAGTAAGATACAAAGGATAAGCTTATTTGTATTCTAAAAGTTGACCTTGGGTTTTTTCCTCCATTGAGCGTTATCACCTGAAGCCAACGCTGTGCCCAGAAATTTTCTGGTCGCTGTAAAACCTGATGGCTGGTCTGCATTTGGTTGGCACCCTGCCTTGTTGCAGTAGCCTGGGACAGGGCTTGCAGCTGTCTGGCTGAACTTAATGTCATTTGGCAAGGGCAGGGATATGCCTTGACATCTCAGAGAATGACCTGAATTTTTTAGAATTGGAAACATGTCAATATGATATGATACAAGTCACATCCTGACCAATGCTGAGATCAGACCTGTCAGTCAGCCTTATGAAAACCTGCCTCCGTTGTGAATTCAAGCCCTTCTGAGGAAGTCCTGCAAATGCTTTGAGAAGTGCCATGACAATCAGGCCATGTGGGACCCGTAAGTCCCCCTGCGACATTTCTCTGAGATTTCTAGATATTTTGTGTCTTTTCAGTTAACCAGTAAAGTTATCCTTGACCCATGCCTGTTTAACCAAGAAAGCCTCCAGAGCTTCCATACAGTATCTCACACTAACGTACCGCGAACTGAATCATTAGCCATAGTTTGGCAGTCCTGAGGGGTTTGATGTTATGGACAGTGCAGCTGATTTTCATTTTCTAACACTTGCCTTTGGCTTGTTCTGGCACATCTCTTCTGTTATCTCTGTATTCATCAAATACTTCACTAATCACCTCGCTGACACCTTCAAACACTGTCTTACTGAAATCAAAAACTGTCTGTAAGAAGCTGGGTATACCCCAGCCTTTCTGTGAGCCGTCGTTTCTGGTGATGTCCTCAGGTAAAGCTGGCATGCTGGCAGACTCATTCAAGTACAGATCAGACATGAAATACATCTGAAAAGACTGGTCAAATTCTTTTTGCATTTGCTTGAAAAAAATGAAACTTCTGTCAAACATTGAGCCCATGTCCGATAATAGTTGGCTAAATAAATCTTCCATTTTTACTAGCTGGGTGTCCTCCTTCTCAGGCTTTTCGTTAAACTGGATGTCTTTTCCTTGATCCTCATGAAAAGTAAAAATGAGTGGAGGTATTTTCCTCAAAAAATCTTCAACCTGTGTACAAGAAGGAGATAATCAGGGGCGTGACAAGTTATCAGGTTTTGTTCCCTTGGGGAAGCGGCTCTATTTTTCCTCTTTCAAATACCCATATAAACAATGTCCTCTTAATAATTGCAAGCACAGCACATTCTCCAAACTAATTTAAGACACTAGACTCTCAAGAGTGAAAGTACAGTCAATCTAAATCATTAGCTCCAAATCAGATCTGGAGTAAAAGGGTTGCCAGTTGGCCTCTACTCTGTGGAGGCTCAAAGTTAATATCGGTGTTTGGGTTTCTCCCAACAAACTATTTGGACTTTATCTTGGAAACATTTCCGTGGTACTTAGTGCAGTG